ATTGACACAGTGGCTGCAACAATGGGCTCAAACATGGCAGTGACGGTGAGGATGGCACAGGACTAGTCAGTGTTTTGTTCTCTTGTACATAGAGTCGTTAAGAGTCAGAACCAACTAAAGGGCACCTAATAACAATAGCTTTAAATTGTACTTCTCTGATTACCAGGGCAGCTGAATATCTTTATTAGCCATTTGTATTTCTTTTTCTGTGAGTTGCCTATTTATAACGGGGTCCAACCTTCCATTGGCTGCTTGTCTTTTTCTTATTGATTTGTTGCTGCTCTTTGTTAAGGATTTAACTCTTCTTGTGGCCATGTGTCATATTTTCCCCCAGTGTCAACTGACCTTTAAACTCTGCTTATTGCATTTTTTTCCTATTCGGAAATTCTTATTTTTCATGTGGTCAAATCTGTCAGTATTTTACTTTAACTTCTCATTTTTCCCAGTCTAATATTACAAAAGTACCTGCATTTTTTTTTGTCACAGTTTTAGGATCTATACTTAACGTGTATTTTATAAACAGCATGAGGTAAGAATCCAGTTTTATTATTTTCTGGACGGATAACCTGCTTTCCTCGTACATATTTATAGTCTAGCCTCTCCTCTGATTTAATATACTACCTTTGTAGATTATTTTGTTCTTTTGGCCTATTGTCTATTCTTGTGTCATAGAAGAGAATGTCTATGAATCAATGATGGAAGAACTTTAGAAGCTATGACAACAGCTTGAGCTCATATTTTTGGAGCTGGCCAGCAAATCATGACATAAAAGTAAATAGATGGCAGAGGTCCACTCCTATAGTTACAGTGAGACAGCAGCTACACAACTAATCATTTATTGTACCAATAAGATCTGCAAGCCTTGAAAGAATGGATTTGGGCAGAATGGGAAGAAAGCAAAATTGAAAGAAAAGAGGACTCCTGGAAAACAAAATTAATGGAATGAGTATAACGAAAGGACTCATATAATTCAGCCTAGAAGCACAATGACCATGTTTTATGCCAAATTACTCTTCAGTTACACAAATACCTGCTGGTGGAGCTAATACCAGCTCTAATGATAGCTATTATTTATCGCATGCTTGTTCTCTGCACTAGGATCGGAGCAGGTGGTTAAGAGTGGATTCTGGAGTCAGACACCTTGGTTTTGAATGTTGACTCTGACACTTACTCATCGTGTGACTCTGGGTTTGCTCATCTGTAAAGTGTGCTTAGTAATAATACCCTCCCTTCTGGGTGTTGTAAGGGTT